CCAAAGCCAATGAAAGGAGGTCTATGAAATGCAACTAAAGAAAGCAACAGCCCTGCCAGAGATTGAGAATTCTTCAGGACTACAAAAAAAAAGCCTAGCAGATGAGTTCTTTGGCCTGTGAAACCCAACTAAAATTATGTCGATTTTGGTGGCAACATTTTTTGAAATTCATCAAATTCTAGAGTTCATCATTGAGTTAGATCCGACAGATACCAATCCCAAAAAAGAGAAGAAAGTCACCAATAAAATTCTGAAAATCCTGCGTTCTCCTGTCTGTGACACATCTTTACTGTTTGACTCCTAGTGATTAGCAGAGTGGATTCTGCTAAATTGAATTTGCCATCAAGTTGCTCCAAGTTGAAGAGCAAAGCTGAGGGTAGAGAGGCGGCAGCGGGTACTGACAGGGGTGCCCAGGAGACATGGGGTGTACTGGAAAATACTTGGAGACACAGGGGTGCACTTATGGCATGGGGGCACACAGGTGAACACAGAGGCACACTTGAAGACAAAGGGGACAAGGTGACACATTTGGAGTCATAGAGGAGCACTGGAGACACAGGGGTGCACATGACACATGGAAGAAATGGGGCATATGGGGGAGCGCTTGGAGACAATGGGTGCATTGGAGTCATGAGGACACATAGGGTGTGACTGAAAACACAGGGGTGCCCAGAAGACATGGGGTGTACTGGAAAATACTTGGAGACACAGGGGTGCACTTGGAGTCAAGGGGGCACACAGAATAGCACTGGAGACACAGGGGTGCACTTGGGACACAAGGGGCATGTAGAGTGGCTCCCCATTGGTGGCAGTAATATATCCCAGGAGGGGTGAGTGTTACAACAACCACCAAAAATGTCCATCAATTCGCCTTGCCCATTGACGCCAAAGCATTTTTCTGAATGTTAACATTTAATCAAAATATCAAAATTTTCATGGAAATTTGATTCCGCTCATCTCTGTTCAGTAGCGCTCTTAAAGACAGCTGACAGAAAACGCATCGAACCTAATAGCGATCGCGTTGATATGCCTGAAATAAACCTACATCTCACCAAAGATCACCAGAAAAAAAAGAGTTCCTGTCACTCCTTCCACAAAATGAATGAGACTCCAGGCCACCCCTGGAGGTCCTCAACGCTTGGCCATTTAAGGTGGCACCAGTCAGTAGAGCTGTCTCCCCATTGGTGGCTGTACTATATCCCAGGAGGGGTGAGTGTTACAACAACCACCAAAAATGTCCATCAATTTGCGTTGCCCATTGACTCCAAAGCATTTTTCTGAATGTAAAAATTTAATCAAAATATCAAAATTTTCATGGAAATCTGATTTCGCTCATCTCTGTTCAGTAGCGCTCATAAAGACAGCTGCCAGAAAACGCATCGAACCTAATAGCGATCGCGTTGATAAGCCTGAAATAAACCTACATCTGACCAAAGATCACCAGAAAAAAAAGAGTTCCTGTCACTCCTTCCACAAAATGAATGAGACTCCAGGCCACCCCTGGAGAGTACGCAGGTGGCACATCGGAATGAAAAGGGTAATTAACCGCATAGTGCCATCACTTTATGATCTCATCTAAGACGTGACAGGTCCTGCGTGGAGCAATAAGCGGGTGCCGTGTCCCCGCGCTGCCTCTGACTGCGCACGTCAGCTGCATTGTGAGCTGCCGCTGACCCCCCGTGCCACCGAAACGCCTTGATGTAAATAATAACTGTTTGCAAACTGACATGGAAAAATGGCTGCTGGCAGGCGTCCAGGCTCCGTCAAACTGCTGGAAATGAGAAGGACTCGACACAATGAGGGGAATGCGAGGCTTCCAATGGAGCGCAAAGTATTGACTGAAGGTTGGAAGTGCCCCATGATGGAGGTGTGCGTCCGCCTGAGTGATGTACTTTGAGGATAATAGAGCATGAAGAGGTGCGCATTCCGTAACCTGCGCTGTACAAACTGCAGGAACTGCGGTGTGCAGAGATGGGGAGGCCGGCTCCTCGGTTTTGTTGTGCGTTTAGCTCTTTTCAGGATTATTAATCCTCGTCCCTTCCTGTCATTAGAGCTCGTGTCAATGTTTTTATTGAACCGCCACCATTGTAACAACTTTTTTTTTTTCCAAGCACACCTGGAAGGACAAAACAAGGATCATAAAACGTTCTCAGGGACTCCACATCTTTCTCTTATGGACTAAATTCATTCTTTTTGTTACAAAAAAAGGCGGTTTCAGGTCTAAATCGGGCATTCTCAGCCAAGGTCCTATGGAAGTCTAGGGTTCCTCCAGGGTTGATAAGGGTTTCTGGAGCTGTGGCTGATTGACCTCCCATTTAATGCCGATGCTGAAAAGGGGCGTTCTTCCCACTGACCCCCAATGTAAGGGACATTCTTCCCACTGACCCCCAATGTAAGGAACATTCTTCCCACTGACCCCCAATGTAAGGGACATTCTTCCCACTGACCCCCAATGTAAGGGACATTCTTCCCACTGACCCCCAATGTAAGGGACATTCTTCCCACTGACAACCAATGTAAGGGACATTCTTCCCACTGACCCCCAATGTAAGGGACATTCTTCCCACTGACCACCAATGTAAGGGACATTCTTCCCCACTGACCACCAATGTAAGGGACATTCTTCCCACTGACAACCAATGTAAGGGACATTCTTCCCACTGATCACCAATGTAAGGGACATTCTTCCCACTGACCACCAATGTAAGGGACATTCTTCCCACTGACCACCAATGTAAGGGACATTCTTCCCACTGACCACCAATGTAAGGGACATTTAAGGACGTTCCCACTGACCCACCAATGTAAGGGACGTTCTTCCCACTGACCCCCAATGTAAGGGACATTCTTCCCACTGACCCCAATGTAAGGGGCGTTCTTCCCACTGACCCCAATGTAAGGGACATTCTTCCCACTGACCCCCAATGTAAGGGACATTCTTCCCACTGACCACCAATGTAAGGGACATTCTTCCCACCGATCACCAATGTAAGGGACATGTTCTTCCCACTGACCCCAATGTAAGGGCATTCTTCCACACTGACCACCAATGTAAGGGACATTCTTCCCACTGATCACCAATGTAAGGGACATTCTTCCCACTGACCACCAATGTAAGGAGCATTCTTCCCACTGATGTTCTCTCCCCCAATGTAAGGGACATTCTTCCCACTGATCACCAATGTAAGGGACATTCTTCCCACTGACCCCAATGTAAGGGACATTCTTCCCAATGTAAGGGGACATCACCAATGTAAGGGACATTTCTTCCCACTGACCACCAATGTAAGGGACATTCTTCCCACTGATCCCCAATGTAAGGGACATTCTTCCCACTGACACCACCAATGTAAGGGACATTCTTCCCACTGACACCAATGTAAGGGACATTCTTCCCACTGACCACCAATGTAAGGAGACATTCTTCCCACCGACCACCAATGTAAGGGACGTTTTCTTCCCACTGACCACCAATGTAAGGGACATTCTTCCCACTGACACCAATGTAAGGGACATTCTTCCCACTGACCACCAATGTAAGGGAGCATTCTTCCCACCGACCACCAATGTAAGGGACATTCTTCCCACCGACCACCAATGTAAGGGGCATTCTTCCCACTGACCCCCAATGTAAGGGACATTCTTCCCACTGATCACCAATGTAAGGGACATTCTTCCCACTGACCACCAATGTAAGGGCGTTCTTCCCACTGACGTTCTTCCCCCCCAATGTAAGGGACGTTCTTCCCACCGACCACCAATGTAAGGGCGTTCTTCCCACCGACCACCAATGTAAGGGACGTTCTTCCCACCGACCCCAATGTAAGGGGACATTCTTCCCACTGACCCCCAATGTAAGGGACATTCTTCCCACTGTTTTAAGGGACATTCTTCCCACTGACCCCCAATGTAAGGGACATTCTTCCCACTGACCACCAATGTAAGGGACATTCTTCCCACTGACCCCCAATGTAAGGGGACGTTCTTCCCACCGACCCCCAATGTAAGGGATGTTCTTCCCCCCCACCAATGTAAGGGACGTTTCTTCCCACTGACCACCAATGTAAGGGACGTTCTTCCCACTGACCCCCAATGTAAGGGACGTTCTTCCCACTGACCCCCAATGTAAGGGACGTTCTTCCCACTGACCCCAATGTAAGGGGCGTTCTTCCCACTGACCACCAATGTAAGGGGCGTTCTTCCCACTGTACTGGGCGTTCTTCCCCCCAATGTAAGGGCGTTCTTCCCACTGACCACCAATGTAAGGGACGTTCTTCCCACTGACCACCAATGTAAGGGCGTTCTTCCCACTGACCCCAATGTAAGGGGCGTTCTTCCCACTGACCCCCAATGTAAGGGACGTTCTTCCCACTGAAACCCCCAATGTAATGGGGGCGTTCTTCCACCGACCACCAATGTAAGGACATGTTCTTCCCACTGACCCCCAATGTAAGGGACGTTCTTCCCACTGACCTCCAATGTAAGGGACGTTCTTCCCACTGACCACCAATGTAAGGGACATTCTTCCCACCGACCCCCAATGTAAGGGGACATTCTTCCCACTGACCCCAATGTAAGGGACATTCTTCCCACTGACCCCCAATGTAAGGGACATTCTTCCCACTGACCACCAATGTAAGGGACATTCTTCCCACTGACCACCAATGTAAGGGACATTCTTCCCACTGACCACCAATGTAAGGGGCATTCTTCCCACTGACCCCAATGTAAGGGATGTTCTTCCCACTGACCACCAATGTAAGGGACGTTCTTCCCACCGACCACCAATGTAAGGGGCGTTCTTCCCACTGACCACCAATGTAAGGGGCGTTCTTCCCACTGACCCCCAATGTAAGGGAAGTTCTTCCCACTGACCCCCAATGTAAGGGACATTCTTCCACTGACCCCCAATGTAAGGGACATTCTTCCCACTGATCACCAATGTAAGGGGACATTCTTCCACTGACCACCAATGTAAGGGACATTCTTCCCACTGACCACCAATGTAAGGGACATTCTTCCCACTGACCACCAATGTAAGGGACATTCTTCCCACTGACCACCAATGTAAGGGGTGTTCTTCTCCCCAATGTAAGGGGCGTTCTTCCCACTGACCACCAATGTAAGGGGCATTCTTCCCACTGACCCCCAATGTAAGGGGCGTTCTTCCCACTGACCCCCAATGTAAGGGACGTTCTTCCCACTGACCTTCCCAATGTAAGGGACGTTCTTCCCACTGACCACCAATGTAAGGGGCGTTCTTCCCACTGACCCACCAATGTAAGGGACATTCTTCCCACTGACCCCCAATGTAAGGGGGGGTTCTTCCCACTGATCACCAATGTAAGGGACATTCTTCCCACTGACCACCAATGTAAGGGACATTCTTCCCACTGATTCTTCCCACTGACCCCAATGTAAGGGACATTCTTCCCACTGATCACCAATGTAAGGGACATTCTTCCCACTGACCCCCAATGTAAGGGACATTCTTCCCACTGATCACCAATGTAAGGGACATTCTTCCCACTGATCACCAATGTAAGGGGACATTCTTCCCACTGACCCCCAATGTAAGGGACATTCTTCCCACTGACCACCAATGTAAGGGACATTCTTCCCACTGACCCCCAATGTAAGGGACATTCTTCCCACTGATCACCAATGTAAGGGACATTCTTACCACTAAGGACATTCTTCACCAATGTAAGGGACATTCTTCCCACTGACCCCCAATGTAAGGGGCATTCTTCCCACTGACCCCCAATGTAAGGGACATTCTTCCCACTGACCACCAATGTAAGGGACATTCTTCCCACTGACCCCCAATGTAAGGACATTCTTCCCACTGACCCCCAATGTAAGGGACATTCTTCCCACTGACCCCCAATGTAAGGGCATTCTTCCCACTGACCACCAATGTAAGGGACATTTCTTCCCACATGACCACCAATGTAAGGGGACATTCTTCCCACTGACCCCAATGTATGTATTTTTCCCATGATCCCAATGTAAGGGGACGTTCTTCCCACTGACCCCAATGTAAGGGGACATTCTTCCCACTGACCCCCAATGTAAGGGCATTCTTCTCACTGACCCCCAATGTAAGGGACATTCTTCCCACTGACCACCAATGTAAGGGACATTCTTCCCACTGACCACCAATGTAAGGGACATTCTTCCCACTGACCACCAATGTAAGGGACATTCTTCCCCACTGATCACCAATGTAAGGGCATTCTTCCCACTGACCCCCAATGTAAACATTCTTCCCACTGACCCCAATGTAAGGGACTTTCTTCCCACTGACCCCCCAATGTAAGGGACATTCTTCCCCACTGACCCCCAATGTAAGGGACATTCTTCCCACTGACCCCCAATGTAAGGGACATTCTTCCCACTGACCCACCAATGTAAGGGACATTCTTCCCACTGACCCCCAATGTAAGGGACATTCTTCCACTGATCACCAATGTAAGGGATTCTTCCCACTTCACCATGGTAAGGGGCATTCTCCCATGATCACCAATGTAAGGGGCATTCTTCCCACTGATCACCAATGTAAGGGACATTCTTCCCACTGACCACCAATGTAAGGGACATTCTTCCCACTGACCCCCAATGTAAGGGACATTCTTCCCACTGACACCAATGTAAGGGACATTCTTCCCACTGACCACCAATGTAAGGGACATTCTTCCCACTGACCCCCAATGTAAGGACATTCTTCCCACTGACCACCAATGTAAGGGGATATTCTTCCCACTGATCCACCAATGTAAGGGGCATTCTTCCCAGGGATCACCATTACATCCCATGTAAGGGGACCACCAATGTAACGGATATTCTTCCCACTGATCACCAATGTAAGGGACATTCTTCCCACTGACCACCAATGTAAGGGCATTCTTCCCACTGATCCCCCAATGTAAGGGACATTCTTCCCACTCATCCAGAGGCGTCACCTCCACATAAGGTAGAACCAGGTACTCTGGGGAGGTGGAGAGAAGTCATTAACATTCCCAGGCTGAATGCTTGGTCCCTGTTCGGAGTTCAGACATCTGGATGAGCTGTGACCAGGGGCGGACTGACCATTTGGAAACTTGGGCACTGCCCGAGGGCCCATGGTCAGTAAAGGGGCCCCATGAGATGCCCCTGGTACCTTTTTTATAGGCTTTTTTGAGTTTGGGCAAGGACACAGGGGCCCCATGATCCTCTATTGCCTGAGGGCCCCATGAGTTGTCAGTCTGCCCCTGGCTGTGATCCCTGTTGACTGTTAGAAGTCATACAGTGTTGTGTGAACATGATGACCTCAATGGCAGACGTCTACCATACTCACCAACATTAGAGGGATACTACTCACCCCGCTGACGGTCTAACACAAACTGCATAGATGTGAACCGAGCCTTAATTGCAGTTCTAAAAGCTCCGGGGAGTAAGAGCTACAAATAACTTGCATGACGCGGGAGGAACATTGCGCTCTCCGGCGCCCCTTTATTCGCCTCCAGTTCCCATGTGCGGGAGACGCCCACCTCCAGAAACGTAAGTCTTCTCAGGTAATGTTTCAGATTGGATATTTCTGGAATCAGATACCGTCAGGCAATCTCCAGCTATTTCTTGAAGAAGGAGGAGGTTTCTAACCGGCGCTGATAGTGATCTGTACTTGCAGCGCGGAGTTCTGGCCTCAGGCACGGCAGGGTGACACCGAAGCGTTGCCCGGTCCCCTGAGATAAGCTCCGGTGGCTTTCTTAGGCTCTCGCAAACATTGTTAAAATGTTTCTGCATTCTAAAGGTCGCATGGCGCATTCCTTCATCTCCCTGATACCATTGCACACCTGTGTGATGAGTAAACGGGAGCCTGCGGCCACAGGCGAGGTGAAACCGCGTACCCACGAAAAGCACAACCTGGATGAGTGCCAGCTTTTTCTTGGTGAAGGGGCAGCTGGAGGCATGCGAGTGTGGAAAAATATTCTCACGTGAAATGAGGTTGTGTCAACCCCCACAGCGCAATTTCAGAAAAACAACATGCTGCTGGCGGAGTAGCAGCATCTGCCACGGGTTCATGGGGTGGCTCCTACGCGGGCTGGGGTTCCGGCATGAGATCTGGTGGTGAACCCCAGAGGAATTGCTGTAGAAATAGGTATAAGTGAGCGCTAAAGGTAACGAAGCTGCTGAACACAAAAGGTATCAAAAAACAACCTCCAAAGATTCACATATAAAAAAGGTGCAGCGCTTATATATTAAAACATGCAAGATATCAAAATGCAAGAGTATATCCCTGCAAAACGCAGGCAGGGTGTAGTTATTATACTGCCCCTTATAGTCTCAATTAACACACTAATATATAGTTCACAATCTCCCAGTGGGTAGGGTGAGGTGAAGGATCAAATGGATCTCTATTGACACACGGTGATAGCCAAAAAGGTGATGTATGGTGATATCCAAAACTGGTAAAAGATTGTGCACTCACCAGATGCACAACCAATATGCACATGTAAGAGATAACCCCTCTCAAGGTATGGTTCCAGGACTCATCAAAGGCAAGATCTGGTCAATCTCTCCAACGATGTGGACCCTCAGCTGTCATGCATGGCTCTGTCCCCTATAGCTCTTTACTCTGCAGGTAGTTGGAAGCTCACCAGAGAGCCCCAGAAAGAAACAAGGAGGCCAGAATAGCGTGATACCGCTTAAACATGCGTGCGTTTATTTCATCCAGCAAAAGGGTATAATAAGACAATACTGACCAGACAAGAAAGTTAGCCGCCGGGACCCCAGTGGTGCCGGCGGTGGTAAACGTCACTGTGCCGCAGTTCCTCCCTGACGCGTTTCGTGCAACCTGGTCAGACCTTGTCTGGTCAGTATTGTCTTATTATACCCTTTTGCTGGATGAAATAAACGCACGCATGTTTAAGCGGTATCACGCTATTCTGGCCTCCTTGTTTCTTTCTGGGGCTCTCTGGTGAGCTTCCAACTACCTGCAGAGTAAAGAGCTATAGGGGACAGAGCCATGCATGACAGCTGAGGGTCCACATCGTAGAGATTGACCAGATCTTGCCTTTGATGAGTCCTGGAACCATACCTTGAGAGGGGTTATCTCTTACATGTGCATATTGGTTGTGCATCTGGTGAGTGCACAATCTTTTACCAGTTTTGGATATCACCATACATCACCTTTTTGGCTATCACCGTGTGTCAATAGAGATCCATTTGATCCTTCACCTCACCCTACCCACTGGGAGATTGTGAACTATATATTAGTGTGTTAATTGAGACTATAAGGGGCAGTATAATAACTATACCCTGCCTGCGTTTTGCAGGGATATACTCTTGCATTTTGATATCTTGCATGTTTTAATATATAAGCGCTGCACCTTTTTTATATGTGAACCCCAGAGGAATGCATGCCCCAAGATTATGCTGCATTCACACCCCACTGTATTGAGAATGTTTGCAAAATGGCGCCAAGTCCATGGTCACGTACATGCATAACGCAGCCCAATAATTTCAATGGGCTGTCCCCTACATAGGAGCTCATGTATCTGTAGCGCTACCCTCGTGAGGGCCGCTGTGTTGAGAGTACTCCCTATGCTTTTTCTCTGCACAGCCAGGCAACAGGTATTTGTTGCCTGGCTTTTTGGAAGATCTCCTGGGAAAAGGATAAAGGACTGAGCCCAGTTCATGGGGTGGCTCCTAATCGGGCTGGGGTTTCGGCATGAGATCTGGTGGTGAACCCCAAAGGCATGCATGCCCCAAGGTTAGGCTGCATTCACACCCTGCTGTATTGAGAATGTGTGCAAAAAGGCGCCATGTCCATGTTCGCGTACCTGCATAATGCAGCCCATTCATTTCAATGGGCTGCCCTACATAGGAGCTCATGTATCTGTAGTTCTAGCCTTGTGAGGGCGGCTGTGTTGAGGGTACCCCTACGCTTTCTCTGCACAGCCAGGCAACAGGTATTTCTCACACAGCCTTGCATCCAAGAGACAGCAACCAGTCCATGAGCTTGGTTTTTTTGATGCCCAGTTGGGCTTGAATTAATGGAAGGGACATGTCCTTCCTATGTACAAAGGCAGATCCTGGACTGTTCTTTTCCTGAAAGCCATCAGTCGTTGCTGATCAACAGCCCTTTATGGGCGAGGAACTAACAGTCCCTCATAAATCAATTCAGCTTCTCATAGCTACATTCAGGAATATCTTCTCTGCCCCTGTAGAGTTGCTCCCAGCTTCATGGCCTGCAAACACTACCAGCCCTCCTAGCTTTTCGGAAGATCTCCTGGGACAAGGATAAAGGACTGAGCCCAGTTCATGGGGTGGCTCCTATTCGGGCTGGGGTTTCAGCATGAGATCTGGTAACCCCAAGGTTAGGCTGCATTCATACCCCGCTGTAGTGAGAATGTGTGCAAAATGGCGCCATGTCCATGGTCACGTACATTCATTTAAATGGGCTGCCCTACATAGGAGCTCATGTATCTGTAGCTCTTGCCTCGTGAGGGCCGCAGTGTTGTGGGTACCCCTAAACTTTCTCTGCACAGCCAGGCAACAGGTATTTTTCACACAGCCTTGCATCCAAGAGACAGTAACCAGTCCATGAGCTTGATTTTGTTGATGCCCAGTTGGGCTTGAATCAATGGACTGTTCTTTTCCTGAAAGCCATCAGTCGTTGCGGATCAACAGCCCTTTATGGGCGAGGAACTAGCAGTCCGTCATAAATCAGCTTAACGTCTCGTAGATACATGCAGGAATATCTTCTCTGCCCCTGTAGAGTTGCTCCCAGCTCCACGGCCTGCAAACACTACCAGCCCTCCTGGGTTTTCGGGAGATTTCCTGGGACAAGGATAAAGGACTGAGCACAGAGCTCTCCTAAGAAAGCTTGCTACGCATGGCAGTCGTCACCCTTGTAGATCTAGAGTGTGCTGCTGTACTCACCAGCCCTCCTGGCTTTTTGGAAGATCTCCTGGAAAAAGGATAAAGGACTGAGCCCAGTTCATGGGGTGGCTCCTAATCGGGCTGGGGTTTCGGCATGAGATCTGGTGGTGAACCCCAAAGGCATGCATGCTCCAAGGTTAGGCTGCATTCACACCCTGCTGTATTGAGAATGTGTGCAAAATGGCGCCATGTCCATGTTTGCATACATTCATTTCAATGGGCTGCCCTACATAGGAGCTCATGTATCTGTAGTTCTAGCCTTGTGAGGTCCGCTGTGTTGTGGGCACCTCTACGCTTTTTCTGCACAGCCAGGCAACAGGTATTTCTCACACAGTCTTGCATCCAAGAGACAGTAACCAGTCCATGAGCTTGGTTTTGTTGATGCCCAGTTGGGCTTGAATCAATGGAAGAGGGACATGTCCTTCCTATGTACAAGGGAAGATCCTGGACTGTTCTTTTCCTGAAAGCCATCAGTCGTTGCGGATCAACAGCCCTTTATGGACGAGGAACTAACAGCCCCTCATTAATCAGCTCAACCTCTCATAGCTACATGCAGGAATATCTTCTCTGCTCCTGTAGAGTTGCTCCCAGCTCTACGGCCTGCAAACACTACCAGCCCTCCTGGTTTTTCGGGAGATCTCCTGGGACAAGGATAAAGAGCTGAGCCAAGGACTGTCCTTTGAAAGCTTGCTACGCATGGCAGTCGTC